GAGAAAAACTTCAAATAAAGTTTGAGTTATAAATAGGACTCGAAAAACTCAAAATTTGTAGTAATTAGTGGATTGGTTTTCAAATTCGAGTCAAGCCCCTCAATTACGCATGATATATGTAAATCTCATATGAAAAATATGAAGAAATATATATGTATATATTATATGGTTATAGAAAGTCTTTTAAATTGGAACCAATTAGTACCATAACATCATAAATATTTACAATTAAATATAAAAAAACTCGAACAACTAAACTCGATTTGAATTTCATTAACTGACTCGAACAAAAATTCAAATAAATTTTGAGTTATAAAATAAGACTCTTCAACTCGACTAACTCAAAATGTTTTAACTTGATCAAATATTCACCCCTACTCCTAAGCATTAATGTTCACAGTATTAATTGCTTGAATACTGCAACTCTAAATTATAGCCAATAAAAGAGTACTGCAGCATAATCAGCAAACATTAGAAAAACTTAAAAAAATAAGAAAAGGATTATTAACAATTCAAAGGAATACAAACTAGAAGATGAATAAAACATCGTCAGAATTCATTCGCTATGTATGAACTATGACCCTATCATTGTTTTTTACTACTAAAAAGTAAAAACTATGACAGTTTTACTTCAAATTCAAAATCTCTCTTTCAATTTTCATTCAACACTCGTATGATACCAATCAAGTTTAAGGTTATCTAAAAAGGAAAAAAAATAAAACTGAAAAGAAAGAAATATTACTCACAGGAGCCCATCTGTAAGCAATCGAGTAGCCTCTTGCAAAAATGTCCTCAAAGCATCCGCATACTTTATCACCAGAGCCATTTCTACCAAGATGAGCACCTGTACGGCCATATTGTTGGAGTCTTGTCCTAACATTGTCAGCTTCCCCGAGATAGACCACCAAGACCTTGTCTGGGTCAAGCTTGCCATGATAGTCCCTGGTGGAGGAATTTGTACGGTATATGGCAAGTTCATAAAGTCCTGAGCTTGTACTTTTGGGAAGATTTTCAATCCTGTATCTGCTCACTCCTTCTTTCCCCATTGAATGGTCTTCCCAGTCATGAGGACCGATAAGAATCTAAACAAACACAAAAGACCCAGAAGGGATTAAGGTTTATAAATCAGATTTGAAGTGGTTATAGATAAAATTTGAAGAAAATTACATGATTAAATCACATGATAATTAGATAGAACTGAGAGGAGACGATGGAGTTTGAATTGTGAACCTTCCATTTGGAGAAGTAGGAGTCGTGCTTGGTCCGCTTGTGATCCTCTCGGTTGAATCTGGTGACCACATCGGCCGATCCCATTGACTTCGGATCAGTTTCGAGAAAGAGGGCTGTTGTCTTTGCTTGCGCCACTTTATAACGGGCGTCTTCCTCAAATCCTCGTATAATATCGCCAAATTGCCTTCCTTTTAAGGAACTTAATTACTAAAATATTTGAAGTCTTAAGAATATTTTAGTTACAAGCACAGAGTAAATGATTTATATAACTTCATTGGCTTCAGTTCTCTAGATTTTTAACTGTAGCGCTTGAAATTATAAATCATTGGTTGATCTAGTTAGATAAAATAAATGTTAATTTAGTATTATTTTTAAAAAATGTTTTTGAATTATTTAATTTGATATTTAAATGTTTAGTATTATTATCAAAATATGTTTTTTATAAATAATCATTAGATATTATATTATAAATTAAAAATATATATTTAAATGATATTTAATTTTTATTATTATTATAACATATATAATATATTATTTTTTTATTAATATGGGGTAAATACAAAGTAGTATATGTTCAAAGATAACTCTCAACTATTCTACATTGATTGCTCGTACCCCTAGCATTGCCGGTGCTCTAATCCGGGACCTCAAGGAACATGTATAAATTTATCTTTATTAGAAATAAAAATATAACAATTCATGAAAATATAAAAATTTAGAATAATTTTATCTAGAATATTTAACATGATAAGATATGAAATTTTCTAACACACAAATAATTTATTAATCATATAATTATAATAAAAATTATAAATTTATAAATTATAAAATAAAGGTTAAAATTATGTTTTTAATAAAAAAATATTTCTCAATCAAAAATAAATAAATTTTCAAAATTTCCGGAAGACATGTATATGTAAAGGTAATTTATAAAATAATTAGAAGATACAAAGGAAATTTTATATACCAATCATTTTGGAGTAAACACAAGGTAATATTTGTTTGAAAGACTCTCAATCATTTGATAATGAACGTTCATACATTCCTACAAACATCATACTCGAACTCAAGACTTGAAGAAATAACAACAATTTTTTAAATTACTAAAGTCGCTTAGTTCGCAACAATACGAAAATGAATTAGAAGATAATTACCATTTTATCATAGGAATAAGTCTAATGGGGATTTAGTACAAGACACAAATCAAACCTTTGTTGGTGAAAGCTCCAAGCCTAATGCAAAAAGAAGAAAGATTACACCGAATTGAGCCACTGTTTCAACCTTAATACATGTGCCAATAAAGATACGCACATGGAGGGAAATTATTTTGTATATGATTTTAATTCTAACTATCTTTATTTGAGTTTAAATTAAAATAAAAGAAATGTATATTTAGAAGAATTTTGATCAAGGTCATTAGATACCTGATTATTAAGATACTCGAAGGGTCAATAATAAAGAAGCCAAAGTAAGGAATTTTCTACTGAAATCCAGCACCATACGAGTACAAGTATCTCATTTACATATATAAAAAACCTATTAAAAATTAAAAAAAAACCATAGCTGCCCCATGATTCATGAACAGTGGATGAATTATTTTAAATAGCAATGATAACAGATTAGATTAGTTTGTATCATATTATTAGTATTATTATTATGGAATATGATTGTTTTGTTGGTTTGTACTTGAAAATTTTTGAGATTGACTTCACCATCGGATCTTTTCAATAATTTGGATGTACAGGGAAAATGAGAAAAAGAATGTAAACTATATTAATTGGCATTAATATTTGTTTTAAAAATTTTAATTATTAAAATTTTAAAAAAAATGCATTAGCTTTTAATTTATTTTTCATGATAGTATTTTTAAAATTAAAATTAAAATACTCATAACTCATCAAGTGGTCTCGGTGAAAAAAGGGGAATAATATTCTTTTTAGAGATTTTGATTTCGAGTAACTGCATCTGCAAATATATGCATTATCATTTGATTAAGAAAAGTCCGAACAAATAATACCTTATAAACACACAAATCATTAAAAAAAATGAAAGTGCTCTTAATCTTCTACAATTGTATATTTGAAATCAAATGATGATTGTAACAACGATGTTGTTTCTTCTCTGCTTTTATCTATTCATTTTTTCACAGTTAATTTAAATTTTTATATTTTTTTCAAAAATATTATATTTTTTTATAACAACACTCCTACATACATACGCGGTTACCTAAATTCAAGATCTCGAAAGAAAATAACAGTTAATGACTTCATTTTCATCCATATCTAAAGCACTCATCAAAATTATATTTAAAAAATAAAATATTACCAATGTACTTTAACATTTTCTTTTATTTTTTTAAACAAAAACTCATCAAAATTACAGGGGCCAATTTGATATTTGAGCCTTCTGACTATTTCATTTGAATGTAATATAGAAGTTAAAATTAAAATTTAACAATTTTATTTTATATTATAAAATTAAGTTACTAAAATTATTCAATGTTCATCTAATTGTGTTTAAGTTTGTAGACACTAAATTTTGTTCAAGTCAATTCGAATGAATGAGAATTGAATGGAGTCGATATTTTGAATCAAATGCAGTTTTACTTACCCTTGTATATTCATTTAAAATATTGTCATTTGAGTTTAGTTTAATTAATATTGTCATTAGTATAGCACCAACCAAGTGATCTTAGTGGTAGAAAAATTGTTGTTATTCTATAAGGTCCTAAATTCGAGCATCATGAATGTTAAGGGTGTGAGCGATCAATGTAAAATTATTGAGAAATATTGTTTTATACTTATCTCAAATTAATAAAAAAATATTTAAATGTTCAATATCTTTCAATTTATTATATAAAAAATTATATTATATAACTATTATATTAAATTACTTAAAAAACTTAATATCTATTGAAATAAAGATCATATTTTTACGAGAATAATATTTATTTTAAAATTATTGTTTTATAAAGACTAATTATGTAAATTATATTTTTTTAAAGGCTTGTTTTATAAGATGATTCTTTATTGATGTAATAGAAATTTAGAATGAAACTTTCCACGTTGACAGCACTCAAAGTATTATTCGTTTAATATTTATTAAATGATTTTAATGGTAAAAAGTATTATTTTTCTTACATATTTTGGGATTGTAAAATTGTGTTTATAAAATATACGTGCGTTGTTAATAAATAAAGAAGATTTTAAATAAATATTATTATGTAATTATCTCATACTATTAAAAATATATTCTTATAAGAATATTTGATTTTTTTAGGGTAAATTTTATTTTTTCAACATTATATTTAACATTTAATTTATGTTTTAATTTAGTACTCAACGTTAAAAAAATTAATAGAATTTCTATTTTTATTTTTTCAATGATGATGCGGCATTATATTATGATGAAACGTCAATATCATCATTAAATTTTAAACGGCGGAGTATCAAAATAAAACATAAACTAAACATTAAATATGACTTTTAAACAATAAAGCTTAGATACCAAAAATGAATAAAAGTAATATTTTAGGTATTAAACGAAGAGTTTACCATTTTTTATTGTAATAAAAGTAGTCAATTATTGAAGCTAAAGGAAAACACATAATTTATAATTACGGTCCTGAGAACCAATTCCGGCTATAAATAATCGCCACTCATATCCCGTACTCCTCCCCCTTCCCCTTCCCCTTCCCCTTCCCCTTCCCTATCTTCTTCATCCAAAGTCACCTCACCCAAAACTAAGCCCATCGTTTCCGACCTGGTCAGCCTGTAATCCTATCTCTCAAAATGGATCGACCCAGATTTGTTTTCGACTCTGCCGAAGCCGAACAAATGGCCAAACAATCCGGCCGGACGCTGCTCCAATTCCTTCCTTCTCTGGTCAAATCTGCCCAGGCCGTGGCCCGCCCTCCGATCTCGAAGTACCACGTCGGAGCCGTTGGAATCGGGTCATCTGGTCGGATCTTTTTCGGAGTAAATCTGGAATTCCCGGGTCTCCCCCTTAACCAATCCGTCCATGCCGAGCAGTTCCTCATCACCAACCTTTCCCTAAACGCGGAGCCGCGTCTTAAATACATAGCCGTCTCCGCCGCCCCTTGCGGCCATTGCCGTCAATTCCTCCAAGAGCTCCGCTGCGCCCCCGATGTCAAGATCCTTATAACCTCCTCCGATGACGAAAAAGAAAACAAAATAAACAACAATTGTAACGATGAATTCACTCCCTTGTCTGATTTTTTACCTCACAGGTTCGGCCCAGATGATTTGCTACCCAAAGACGTCCCTCTCCTCCTCGAGCCTCATAGGAACGGCTTGTCATTTTGCCCCGACTTGTGCAGCGTCAAATCCGACTGCGGTGAGGAAGATTTAAAATACGCCGCTCTGGATGCGGCGAATATGTCGCACGCACCTTACAGCGGGTGTCCATCAGGAGTGGCGTTGGTGGATGTTGAAGGGAAGATATACAAAGGGTCTTACATGGAATCCGCGGCATACAACCCGAGCTTACCACCGGTTCAGGCGGCGCTGGTGGCCTACGTGGCTAGCGGAGGAGGAGGAGGATATGAGAGGATTGTGGGAGCAGTTGTGGTGGAGAAAGCGGACGCTGTTATTAAACAAGAACACACTGCAAGGCTACTTCTGCAGTGCATTTCACCAAAGTGTGAAATCCAGGTGTTTCAATGTGAAAAGGCCATTTAAAAATGTATGTAGTAGCTTCAATTTATGCTATACATATGCATTTGTAATGGATTAAAACCCAGCATAAAATTGTTAATCAGGAAATGAAAAAAAGTTGTATAAATCTTTATCGTGATTTGTAATATCTTTTGCGTTTTGAGATGTGATGCTGGGAAAATGTCGGATGAGATTCCCCCTGCCAATTTCCCTTTTCCAGCTTCTGCTTTGCTTTGATTGATGGATGGTGGATCCTTGCTGCCTTGGATTTGCAATTCTAATCGTGTTTATCCAAGTTCGGAAGAATCAAAACTGTAAAATAAGGATCAAAGTGGTTGAGGATTGCTGCTGCCATATCCACATTATTTAAATAATACAACTCATCAGTGACTTTGACAGTCAAAGTAAATTTCTTTTGAAGTATACAAATAATCACTTAGTATTATTTTGTTGAGTATATCAATTATTAAAATTTTAAAAATATATAATTCAATAATCTTTTCATTAAACTTTTAAAATATTATATATTTATAAAAAAATAATTTTAATATATTTTAAATAATTTCAGAATATTTTGGGTTTTAATAAAGGGGAAACATACAAATTGTAGACCCACACACACATACAACATTGGTAAAGTCAATAATAATTGGTGAGGTTTAAATTACGTGTTTTTAATAGTCACGTAAATTACGAATTTTGAACCTTAGGAAAAGATTCAGCTTGGCCTTCGTCTATGTCCAATGAAAAACAAAAATAATCAAATAAAGACTAATCAGTCTGACATGTAATTTATTTGAGAGAGTTTTGTGGTTTAGGGTTTGTGCCCATAGCAAAGCATTATTTTTATTTTATCCGTATGTTTGTCGTTCAAGGATAAAATTTGATTGAAATGGTATTTGATGGTTAGAGACTAAAATAAAATGTTTTAAAATTTAAAGATAAATTATAACAGTTTCGCATATAATTCATTCCGTATTTATATATTTTTAAAGTATTCGTAATTGATTTTATATTTTAAAATGACATTGAATGTGAATATAAAATTATAAATAAAAATAATGTATCATAAATAAATGTTAATATCGAGTCCGTTTGTATAAATAATTGTATGAAAGTAACTTTATCCGTGCTTATCCTTCTTTATATAATTTGAGAAAAGCCGAGAAGAGCTATCAGTCCAACGATAAAGTTGAAAGGCATCTTTATTTGAATCCTAATCTTGACACCATTTTTGCCCTTAATATAATATAATCTTATAATCATGAATGATTAGTTTTCTTAAGGATTTATATGAGGTTGGACGTGAGATTTAGATTTAACAAATTTTTCATTCGATCTGATCTTATATGTTTAATTCTGTTTCAAAAAAAATTTGGTTTGAGTTATTTTTATTATAAGATTGCGATAGATTTAGGTTTAGGATTAAAAAAAAAACTATAATCCAATTCAATCTAAGATAATAATATAATTATCTCTTATATATTTAGCGATAATTATAATAATATCTCCCTCTATATTTTTTCAATTACATCTCTATTATACCCAATAAAAATGATACTTTTATATATATATATATGTCAGATCGTGTGAGTTTTTAGCCTAAAAATCATGTTCGATTTTGAGTTGGGTGGAACCTCCCTAAATATCGATATAGTCCGGTGACAAGTAGAAGAATATAATAATACTTGGATAAGGGTTTAGGTCGAGAAAAAACTTGACTTGTCTTGAGCCATGCTTATCATGGATTTATCTAACATGTAAATTACAATAATAATATGATTACAATTAAAGTTAATCAATAAAATGTACAAACAAAATTAAAAATATAACCTATATATTTATTGTTATGAATAAAATCAATTATTACAAAGATTAAATTAACAAATCAACTTGAACCTGAATATAGGATAAGACCTCCACATAGACGTTAAATTAAAATAAATAAAATTTAAACTATAAACTTACACACTATATTAACATACAGTGAATGGGACTTAAAATGTTAGTCTCGAAGGATTCAAAACCTTAACCTTTATCATTGAACTAATTGATTCTGATTATTAACAAACTTGGATTGATTCAATTATCCTCTATGAGGTGAAATTCAATAGTTCATAAATTTTAATTTCATAATTCATTTCTTTTATACCAAAATATAAGTGCAATATTTAATTAAATAGGTTCAGTACTCAATCACAATAAAAATTCTTTTTTTAATTGAAATCAGAATAAAAATTCAAATTCAATCAACTGTAATCTCCTTTATATATATATATATATATATATATATATATATATATATATATATATATATATATAAACTTATGAGAGAAAATTGAATTTCATGCAACAAAATTCTATTAGAAAGGAAGATATAATATGTGTAGACATCAATTTTTTTTATTATTATTAAAATTATTATTATTAGTATTATTATTATAATTATTATTATATTTATTTATTAAATATTACAAAGCCCAATTACAATAACTCATGCCCAGATACAGAAGCCCAACATAAACTCTAAAACCCAACTAGGGTTTCTCATCTCATGCCCCAGCCGCCAGTGATCTCCACCGTTGGATCTGGCAAGATCCAACGGTCCAAAACTATCCAGCTTGAAACCCTAGGGTATCATAACCCTAGGGACCACACGGCCGCCGCCGTTGCTTCCAGACGTTCCAGCTGCCAGCGCTACAGCCACGAAGCCGCCGCCTCACCAGAAGCTTCCAGAAGGCCAGCTGCCCCCCACATGTCGCGGCTATGGGGTGAGTCACCACATAGCTCGGTGACTCACCGAACTTCCCCCTCTAGACCGGTCCGAGCATGGCTCGGTGGTGGCTATAAAAGCCACCGGATCCTGCAAAACAAAAAGAGAAAAGACAGAGAAAGAAAAAAAAAAGAGAAAGCACGAACAGCAAGCAACGGAGACAGAAACGAAGAGAGGGCAACCAACAGAAAAAAAAGAGGAACCACCAATAACAGACAGCAACAAGAACACGAACCCACAGCAGCCAATATAACAGAAAGAGAAGAAAAGAAAAGAGAGCTTACTATGTCATTGGAGGCTTTCGAAACGTCGCCGGAAACCTTCGAACTTCGAAGGTAAAATCCTAGATCTAGGAAATACTATGGGGTTGTAGGAGAAAAGGATACCAAATTTGGCTTTAGAGTTAAAAGAGCTTTGATTTGGTATGGTTTTGTAAGTTCCGACCACCACTCACGGTGGTCGGCGGTCGTGGTCGGCGCCGGAGCACGGCTGCCGGCCGGTGGTCTCTCCATCTCTGTTTTAGAGAGATGAAATAAGAAAAATGAAATCATGGCCCTTAAGGGCCGGCTTAAATGGGTATAAATACCCTCATCAAAACGACGCCGTTTTGGTGAGGGTATCTGTGTAATTTCACACATGGGTAAACCCCATCCGCAGTCCATCATTTTTGTAACTTTATATTTTAGTCACTAAATCAATTTTTAAATTCTTTTAATTCAGTCTTTCGATTTTATTTAGTTTATAATTTAGTCCTAGCCTGTATACTTATATATATTTAAGGTAAATATCAAATTTAGTCCCTCATAGTTTAGTAATTTTTATTTTAATCCCGTATTATGAATTATGGTTAAATCACACTGTTAGCACTCAAGTTTTATAATATTTCGAATTAGAACTTTAGTTTTATAATCTTACATTTTAATCATTAATTTCATTAGTTTTTATTTTTTACTATGATTTTTAATATTTTACATTTTAATACTATATTTTTATTTCCTTTTATTTTTATTTATTTAATTATTATTATTTTTTATTGTTTTAATTATTATATTATTATTATTATTATTTATAAATATATATATATATATAAATAATATATATATATATATTTTATTAAAATCCTATATTTCATAAATTACTTTTAATAATTATGTTTTAATATATATTTATTTATTTTTCAATATTAAGAAATGACAGTATTAAAATAACTGGATGTCCATTTTCTGATACTTTTAAATAAATAAATATCCTATTGTTTTAAAATTATATATTAATTGTTTATTTATTAATATCAAAGAAAAGAGCTGTCTTAAGGCACCTAGAAGTCCTTTTCTAATATTTCTAAATAAATAAATATTTTATTTATATTTTATATATAAATATATTTTTATATAATTATAACTTTGAAATAATAAGATTATAAATTAAATATATTTTTGAATTTTTAAATTTCCAATAATAAGAGACAATTTATAATTAATAAGTACCAATTTTGGGCGTTGTGGGGGTGCTAATCCTTCCCCAAACGTAATCGACCACGAACCCCTTTTTATTATTAAAAAGAATGAATCTTTGGTTAAAAAGCAGATCAATTTATCTTTTAACTGATGTTTTCTTAAAAACTCTTTTAAAAGATAATTTTTAGGTATTCGACCTACCTGACCCAAAAGGCCGATGGCGACTCCCAAAATATTTTAAAAACCATTTATTCACATCACTTTTCCCGTCAAATAAATATTTCGTACCCGGACGAAAACCGGTTACGACAGCTTGGCGACTCCGATGGGGACCGTTAATCTTTTAAAATCAATTATAAATTGTCTCTATTAATTATAAATTAAAAATTCATATATTTAATTTTTAATTCTTTCTTTTCAAAATTTTTATATATACTTATTATTTTCATAGTATTTATATATTTTCTTATTAATATTTCATTTTATTTGCAAATATTTTATTTCATTATTTATTTTTTCTGTTAGAGGTTTGAACATTTCTCCTCACACACAACACTTGCATTGCATAACATAAAGCTCTATAATTGAGTTAGTCCCTTTTAAGTGGGAGTGAAAGCGACGTCTTCGTGAGAATTTATTCTCCGTGTCAGACCTAACAAGTAATTTTCGGGGTTCATATGCTCTATGTCTTCGTGAGAATATATTCTCCGTGTTAGTCATAGAGAAATGTATCCCCTCGAATTGAACTCGATCCGCTTAAGTCTGTAATGGACTAGGATTGAGGGTTTGGCAGCCTAAGGGGGCACTAACAAGGATAATTCGAGTACCTTTACTCCTAGAACTAAAACCCTGCATATAATAAACCTTAGAACTTCTCCTGATCTAAGACAGTACTGA